GGGGGGGGGGGGGGGGGGGGGGGGGGGGGGGGGGGGGAGGGGGGGGGGGGGGGGGGGGGGGGGGGAGGGAGGGGGAGGAAGAAGAGGAAAAAAAAGGGGGGGGGGGGGGGGGGGGGGGGGGGGGGGGGGGGGGGGGGGGGGGGGGGGGGGGGGGGGGGGGGGGGGGGGGGGGGGGGGGGGGGGGGGGGGGGGGGGGGGGGGGGGGGGGGGGGGGGGGGGGGCGGAAAAAAAGGGGGGGGGGGGGGGGGGGGTTTTTTTTTTTTAAAAAAAAAAAAAAAAAAACACCCCCCCCCCCACCGAAAAAAAAAAAAAAAAAAAAAAAAAAAAAAAAAAAAGGGGGGGGGGGGGGGGGGAGGGGGGGGGGGGGGGGGGGGGGGGGGGGGGGGGAAAAGTATTTATAAAAAAAAAAAAAAAAGCGCCCCCCCCCGGGGGGAGGGGGGAAAAAAAAAAAAAAAAATTTTTTTTTTTTTTTTAAAGGGGGGGGGCCAAGGGGGGGGGGGCCGGGGGGGGGGGGAAACCCCCTTTAGGAGCGGGGGGCTCTATTGTAGTGATAAGCTATGTAGTAATCTTAGCTTATAGATTAAAAGATAAGTCCTGCCTCCCTGTGAGTGTCAACGGAGTGTGTGAGCCCAAGGAAATCGGTGATCTATTTGCTAATTACTTTACAGTTAAATCGCCGATTGGGCCCTCACAGTCGAGGCTAGATGCTGTGACCCAGTGTAAAGGTGGCATAAGTTTGAAACCTTCTATTAAAGAAATAGATAGCACTGTAAAGTCTATGGTTAGAGGTAAGTCACCGGGGCACGACGGTCTCAGCATCGAGCATCTCAAGTTTGCAGGCCCACACTTGCCTCGCGTTCTATTTCTTCTATTTAATGCTTGTATAGCGCATAGTTACATGCCTAGAGATATGATAAGTAGTATTGTAGTTCCAATAGTTAAAAATAGGACAGGCGATCTCGCCGATATTCATAACTACAGGCCTATATCTCTGGCAATTATTATATCAAAAGTGTTTGATGGTGTGCTTAACACTCAATTAAGTAAATATATAAAGCCACACGATAACCAATTTGGTTTTAAACCTGGGCTGTCCACAGATGGTGCTATTTTGAGTCTTAAGCATACTATTAACTATTATGTTAAACGTAAGACGCCTGTCTTCGCATGTTTTTTGGATTTGTCCAGGGCATTTGACCTTGTTTCCTATGATCTGCTTTGGAAAAACTTGAAAAATCCATTTACTAAGGATACCATAAATATTTCAAAGTCCAAAGTCAGGTCAATAGTGTGCGTTGGGAGGGTGTCTTGTCGGATCCGTATAGGATGGAGTGTGGGTTGAGGCAAGGTGGGTTGACTTCTCCCATACTTTTTAACTTGTATGTAAATGAGCTGATAGAGCAGTTAACCGGCACCAGAATTGGCTGTAACGTAGATGGCGTTAACCTTAACAATTTAAGCTATGCTGATGACATGGTGCTGCTTAGCGCTTCTGTCTGCGGGTTAAGAAAATTATTAGCTATTTGTGAAAAATATGCTGCATCCCATGGTCTTATCTATAATGCCAAGAAAAGCCAAGTGATGGTGTTTGAGTCAGGGAGGAGGAGACTACAAAATGTGCCGACGGTTACTATTAACAACTGTGTTTTACATTGAGTTAGTAAGTTTAAATACCTTGGGCACGTCCTAGTCCCCGACCTCAAAGATAATGGCGATATAGAGAGAGAACGAAGAGCGTAATCGGTGAGAGCAAATATGCTGGCTCGTAGGTTTGTTTGTACGTTGTTCTCATGACGTAAAAGTCACATTATTCAGAGCATATTGCACTAACTTCTACACGTGCAGCCTATGGGCCAGTTTTACTCGACAAACATACAACTCGGGTCATACAACTCAACATACGGGTGTTGCTGGGGCTGCCTCGCTTCTGCAGTGCATCAAGAATGTTTGCAGAGGCGTGGGTGGATTGCTTTTTCGCCACTATGCGAAAGCGGTGCGCTTCTTTGGTGCGCCGGGTGCGGGGCAGCTCCAGCAACATCTTACGGATGATAGTCGAAAGAATGGAGTGCCCCTATTTACGACACTGCTCCGACATCTCCGCAGGGCTTTGTACCTGATAGTTTTTATTTAACTACTTTTTCCTTATTTTTACTAATTCTCTAACATAGATCTTAAGAAACTATTGTAACTAACTCACTAATCAATCAATGGACTGTATTTGTCTGATTAATAAAAATTATTATTATTATTAAGCGACGAGATATTTTATAGTTATAAAAATAATATAAATTACTTTTAGCTTTCCTTTTAATTAATTTTCTAGTAAGAGTTATGATTTACTATATGCCATTAAAGTAAAATTTTCGTTAGTAAAAGTTCGATGCTTGGGTTGTACCAAGTGTTAAAAGACAAACTTAAAGTAAAGAACGAAATTTTGGTTTTTATCGAGATTAAAGTATTTTGAAGGATTTCAAGATTGCATTAAAATGTGTATTTATATAAAATAGATTATATATTCCGATAAATCATTCAAAAAATACTGCTACTCCACCTCTAAACAATGTTAAACTTAATATTAGAAATTAAAATTGTTTTACCGATTCAATAAAAACATACCAACTTGGTAGTAAATGTAGACCATTTTTTTTGTAAATTGTTGTTCATAATTGGTACATGAATAAATAAATAAAATAATAGTTTTTTTTTAATATTCTCTAATAAATAGATAATAATTGTCTCATACACATCCAGTTTAAATCTCCTCCAGTTAAAAATAATTAAACTAAACAACACACCGCCATCTTGTCTGTCAATAGGTTCCGAGGTTTCTAAAATTTTAATATTTGTTTTAAGCGCTCACTCTTCGATATATCGGTTGAAAATATATTTGAATAGTTTATTAAGTTCAGAGACGTTATAGGACGACATAATAATAATATATTTATTAAAGCTGATAGTTATAAGTCCATATGGTTATTATTGTTTTAGCTTTGAAGTATATTTAATCATATATATAAAATTCTCGTGTCGCGGTGTTTGTGGTTAAACTCCTCCGAAACGGCTGGACCGATTCTCATGAAATTTTGTGTGCATATTGGGTATGTCTGAGAATCGGACAACATCTATTTTTCATCCCCCTAAATGTTAAGGGTAGTCCACCCCTAATTTTTTTTAAATTCTTAGATAATTTTTTTATGATACAGCATTAAAAAATACATACAACCCTTAATTTTCACTCCTCTACGATCAACCCCTATTTTTATTATAAATGATAAACATGGCAAAACGACGTTTGCCGGATCAGCTAGTTCAATCATAAAATTATAAAATTACACACACACATCATCGCAACAAAACCACACACACAGTTACCGTGTCAGTGTCCAGCCTTCCTAGCTAGCACATAACCTTAAAACGCATGTATACTTGGTTCTCTAATATACGTTCCCATTAACCACTGACTGATTAGGATTCCGTTACAACAATAGTAGTTTCCAAATTGGTTTTGAAATACGAGAACAGCTTTGGTTCGCTTTACCAATGAGAATTCCTATTCTTCTATTGCATACGTTTAATATGAATAAATCTTGAATTCACACACGTGACCAATTATTAAAATTTTAACGTTTGTGCTGCCGGTCTTTTACGAATTGGTATGCTCTTTTCTTGAAAGACTCAAAGATGAATTGGTTTGGAAACTTCCACGGGCCGCTGGTTCCATATAGTGGTGATATGCGGCAATAACTGCCTTATGAATAATTTTTTTTTAGTTTACTCCACAAGTTAATTTAATGTATTTAATTTGTACAAGTCATAGATATTTAAATGAAAAATTGCTTCGCCAGATTGGATCAAAATGTTAACATATGTATTCTAAACTTGAAATTTTAAAATTCCCGACCATTCACCAGCATTCTTTATTTGAAAAAGATGGATCAATTGCTGCAATCCATAAAGTACAAAAAAATAAGTTTAGAAAGCAGAGCATAGAGTAAAATCATAGATATAATATTATGTTTAGGTTCTACGGCATTTCAATTGTTTAGAGTCTAGCTAAGTTCAGGAAACGATTTAAAGCATTCGCGTTTCACATGTTTGAATATAGAACGACGTAAAGTTTTATACGATATCGCGAGATTGTTCGCCAAATATTCTAAACTTGAAATTGAATTTCGAATTCGGAAATTTTAAATCATTAAACAAAATTCGTGGTAGTTTGTTCTTTGAAGTGAAAAATTGTCATACTTGTAAAAGTACGCCTAATGTTACTTTTATTCGACTTCAATTCGACACGAGGGTGACAAGGACAAAACTACAAAACTCGCGAGTAATAACGAGTTCCATAACAGGCTTTATCTATGAACTATATCAGAAGTGAGAAAATTTATGTCACAAACACATTTTTGTTGTGACACAATTTTCCTCAACATTTTTTGCTGTTTTCGCATAGCAAGAGTTGTCGAGTACAAGTCGTACTGAAACATTGATTTCATATGCACTGCTCTTAATATCCCGATGTATTTATAGCAAGCTGATGTCTGTGAATTTGTCTGCGTTTAGAATATCAATTCTTCGCAGGCTTTAGATTAGAAGCTTAAAAGCTTAGCGGGTACTATGACTTCTGTATGTCAAAATGCAATACGTTTGTATACAGGCCTTATACTTAGCGTTAGTCTCTAGTCTGAATCTTACCATTAAAAATATTTTATAGTAGAATTTTTAAGTACACTTTTTTTAGGACCTTTTTTATAAATCAATTGTCGCTTCATTCATTGAAATTAACTGTAATAGAAAACAATAGAAAGATTTTAATATTATTTTTAAAAAGAATATGTTTTTTCGTATTAGGTACATATTCTAGAGCATGAATGAAATTTAAATCTAGTTTTAAGAGCTGTCAAACTATTTTTAAGAATTAAGTTTGATATAGTTGTCAAAACGATTGTACAGGCTTTAAACATTGTGTATTTACAGGCGATCTATTCGTACTAGTATTCGGTATGGACTGTCGAGAATCTTTCGAGGAGGTGATACGGTTACGTGAGCAAATCCTGGAGACCAAGGCTAGTGCGAGCAGCGGTAACTGTCGTGGACGTCGGCAAGCTCCGAGGGTACCTATGGCCATCGCAGGCAACAAATGTGACAGGGAACTCAGGTAATTACTGGGAATTTAAATTGAGGAGAAATACAAAGTAAAACGTATAAATTAAAATAATAAGTAATGCCTTCCCGGCAAGCACATATTATGACTAACTGTGTTTTGTTCGTCTCTGGTGGGTAGTAACGAACGAATAGTCAATTCTCTCACGTGGTGGGTACAGATATTTCTGTGATACGCTGCTGGACAGGATAAGTCAAAGACTTATCTCGAAAACCAAGAAAAGTCTTTGCGTGATGCGGCTGGACCCTTTAGAACAGGGGTCTCCAAACTACGGCCCGAGGGCCACATCTGGCCCACTGACAGAATTTGTCCGGCCCGCGGAGAGCCAACATACTTGAAAACTCCTTTTAGAGAACATATTTTTTATAGCAAATTAAATTTAGTTTACTGAAGTATTATTATTTATTTTATGTTGAATAATTATTAATATGACATCTACATTGATATGGTCATGGGGTAACTACTCATAACATTGTTGTAGGCTTATTGTTATTGTTTTTGTGATAAAAACATAACTTATAACAAGCATAATGACATATGGTTTTGGCCCTCGGAACTTACTGGAGTAATCAGTATGGCCCTAAGGCTGGAAAGTTTGGAGACCCCTGCTTTCGAATATCTAGACCATGCTATTATTATATTACAAGCAGCATCTGTTTTTTATCTTATAATGTATTCAATAAACTTTATAATAAGGTTTAGATATGGTATTAACTAAAAATATGTGTAGGTATTTTTCACTATAATAATATTTACACACGAGAACAGTGTTGGGCTTTAGCATGCGACTCTCATACCTGAGGTCGTAGGTTCGATCCCCGTCCGTGCACCAATGGCGTTTCTTTCTATGTGCACATTTAACATTCGCTCGAACGGTGAAAGAAATCATCGTGAGGAAACCAGCTTGCCTTAGACCCAAAAAGACCGGCGTTTGTCAGGCACAGGAGGCTGATCATCTACTTGTCTATTAGATTGATCATTAAAAGGTTGTAGCGCCACTGATTTATTTATTTGTTTATAGCTATTAATGTAACACTACAGCAAGTAAATATCAGTATTTCATATGTCCAGTTATTATTGATATTCTCTAAGCGGAAAGCGGTTCTTGTTTAAGCAACAGAGTTGAAATATAACAAAACATTTTCAAACCCAAATACACGGAAACACTGAGTTAAAAGATCAGTCGTTCAACTAGAAAAACTACATACACTTTAGTAACCTAGTATGACCACCTACATTGAGGTTTCGGTAGACGTTTTCCTTATTTCTCGTTAACTATTATAACGTAAATGCTAATAACGGTATGTTAGAATGGTTTTTATTCCTTACATGTTACTGTTATATGACACGCAAGGGGAAACCAAGTTGTTTAATCATCGGTGTATGCTTGTTTTCATGTACTATATATTCCTCAACAGCACGTAAACTTAAAATATGTGCGTTTTGCATGAAATGCATCAATTATAGTTAACGGATTAAAAAGCAGTGCAGACAATGGTGTGCGTGCGAATTTCCACCCTGAGAGTTCAAATAATGGCTGTGCACTAAAGGTTGTTTCTTTTGATAAACATTGTGAGCGTCTTCTTTGACCTACAATTTTAGAAGTAGAAGGCACAGAAGAGATGCAATTTCAGAATATATAGAGTTATAGCGCCATTGTTTTTTTAACGGGTTTTGTTAAAGGGATATAAATTGTATTAAAGAATTGTTGTCAACCGCTGTTAAGATATTTATAGATTTAATATACTTTCGTTTCGTTGTCAGCATTTTTCTTAGTAAGTTTGATAATACATATAATATAAGTCTTTTGTATTTACACCTGTATAAATCCCACCCCAACACATTATCACGATATACAGATACAGTTTTCATAATTTGAGAATTTTCACCACTCTGGAAGAAAAAAACATTTTAAATTATTTCGTCGAGCGCATTCTGAAGTATTGTAGTTATCAAGTTCTAGTGAAAAGTCAATTGATCACTTCAAGTTGTTGTCTGGTATGACGTAGTTCAAACAAAGCCTTGACGATAGTACAAACTAGACTTTTGTTTTTGTTAACTTTTTTCTATTTATATACATATATATAAATATTTTTACTATAAATTATTTATTGTTCGTTTTTAAAAGTTGTATTAACAATACTTTTTGCCACTATATCCAAGAGGGACTGGTGACTTGTAATAACAGGTTTTCCCAACCATTTTCAAGCACCAGTCTCTCACAATGATAGATAATTGTTCATTAAGTTCATTAAGTTTATTGTCAAAAAAGAAAGATGGTGAAATACCTGTATAATAAACTCGTACAATGCAATATTAGATGTAAATAAATGAAATAGTTCATTATTTGTTATCGTAGTTCTGGTCTTTTCAATAGAAAACCATCGCACTTCCCTTAACAATACACTGGCTTTTGCATAACCGATAACAAACTTTTGTTATTTTATAGAACAGTGCAAGCGGAGGAAGCGACCGCCTACTGTGCAACTCAAGACTCCGCCTGCGTTTTCATGGAAACTTCAGCGAAGAAAAACTTTCACGTTGACGACTTATTCTATGAACTCTTCGTAGTTGCCAACTTACCTTTAGAAATGGCTCCTAATCATCATAAAAGAGTGAACGCCGCGTTCGGAAGCCCCTGTACATTACCCCCCACCAGTAGCCAAAGTAGTAGAAGTAAGAAATGTACTCTATCTATTAAAAGAAGACTGTCAGATGCGTGCGGAGTAGTAGCCCCTAATGTTAGACGACCCAGTATTAGAACGGATCTGATGATAATGAGAACGAAGACGTGTGCCAAAGGTGATGGAGATGGAGTCGGTGGCAGCCCCAAGCTCAATTTGAATCGTCTAGTAAGGTCTAACGCCCAAACTGACAAAAGATCGTGTATTATACAGTAAATTAATATAAAATCTATTTGAGACAGACCTTCTTGTGTGTTGATATGTAGTCTATATTTGTTACGTTCTAACGCATGCAAACGTTAAGAGGAAATTTAGATTAATATGATCTATATCATCGTTTCTCAACCATTTTTATGTCGCGAAAAGCCAAAAAGTTAAGTGAAACAGTCTTGCGACTACGTCACTGTAAAGTTATAATTTAGTTTCATAACACTACACTATAATTATACATTCCTTTAATAAAATAATCTTTTACTATATGTAGTACGTATCTCTTATTTTTCAACAGACTGCGACCCCCTTTTAAAACAAAACTCGACCCCCCAAGGGTCGCGACCTCCCGCTTGAGAAACGATAGACTCTAAACTGTTTTCAAAATATCTGTTGATATTGCTTGCTTTTAATATAAAACATTTTCTTCTTAATCCAATTATTACTTCATTTAAGCAAATTATAACTAAATGTTTATATAAGAAAAGGTGCTAAGAAGGATATAAGCTAACAATTAAGAGTACTTACTTAAATTACACCAAAACTGTGCGGTATACTGTAACAATTACTATAATCACGTACTTGAACACAGCCACATTCAAGCCACTCTAACCAAATATACTATATTTTTTGTTATTCACACTGATAACGCATTTTGTAAAGGCGAAATTTCGAGACAATTTTATAATTTTCTTTAAGACATTAATTATCAATGTTTAAAATTGTATTAAACTAGTATTATTTAAAAAAAAATAATACTAAATCAAATACAATGTAAATTGTACGTATTATTTTTTAATGTTTAAAGTGTTCAAGCACTTTGAGCTACGTGTATAAATAAATCTGCATATAAGTGTGTGTATGCTTACAAGACGCTGCTTGTATTATTATTTTGTATTACCCTTTAAGGAGTTTTAATATTAGCAGCCTCGTTCATATATAAAAGCTATTCAAACGAAAATATCACTATTTATTTGGTAAGGGCGGCATCCTACCTCTGTTAGTTCCAATACCATCCAGACGTTTTCGTATGATCTATGTAGTTCTCTCCATATCCGTAACATATCTTACGATCGCGCGGTTCAAGTACTCATTATTGTACAGGGATACTTCGGTATTGCTATTGGAAGTCACAGATTAAGAACTGCCTTGCGATTCTGTAACTCACTTTTCGACTTTACAGCAGCCATTTTACGATTTGGCATTCTGATAAACAATAAACTACAAGCTTCCCTCCTTATCAGAATGCCAAATCAGAAAATGACTGCTTCACGACTGATTTAAGCGCAACCGCCGCTGCAAAAACCGCTGTGTGAGTTCGAATAGTGAGTTACAGAATCCCAAGGCTGCTCCCAAAATGTTAATGTTGCATGTTTGGCTTATGTGAAATAATAACCGTGTAAATTTAAATGAAAAATGTATTTTTATGCTTAATCTATGGTTATAAGTTTCGGTAATTCTAAACTTTGTAAATTGCATAAGGGCATTGGATGGGACCAAATTGTTCATGCTTTTGTCGAATCTCTGTGTCCATAAAGTATAAATGGGACTTGGAAAGTTTTAAGTGTCGCAATGTCTCAAATTGTTTAGGGATTATATCGAACGTATGCAAATATTAAAATATATATTTACGATTGTAAAGTAACGGATACTTAAAGATGTTATTAATAAATTAAAGCTCAATAAGAAATATTCTCTAGTATAAGTATTTTAGCGATTTTTTTTTCATTTAAGTGTTTATACGTGTCTGTAACCATCATTTAGGGGAATGATAGATTTGTATAAAAACCTATATTGTAGTAAATAACCCTAATAATGTTTAATGATTACAAGTCTACCATGTACCTTCCAATAGTGATAGCGATTCCGATTTCAATATTCAGTTTTCGTTCCTCATTTCATGACGACATCGCTACGGATATTGAGTATTAGGGGTATTGGGACCTTAGATGACGTAATTTTGTTAGGGGTTCTCAATGCCAGCCATTTATTAACGAAATCTGGAGTGATTAAAATCTGCATTGGTTTACAGAATAAGGGAGCTGGTTTATTCTGGGTCCTTGAGCCCTAATGACCCCATTAGCATTTCATACATTATCTCCAATCTTTGTATCTATGGGTTAGGACTTAAGTTTAAAAAAATATAGGATTTTATTACATATTGTATATCTGTGAATATTTTCTGTCTATGTCTATAATCCTAATAAATTATGTTTTTAAATGAGACAGTTGTTTTTTTTAACCATACACATTTACAGTGCCTCATAGTTTTCTTGGCTGACGGCTGAAATTGGTACTACCGTCGCCATTTTGGTACAATAAATAATTCGGTTACCAACATCTATTAAAAATCCAATAAAAATTTATTTATAGCAAAAATATGGTACAAAAATGTGTAAGATGGTACAATCGTAAGTTCGCATATTCTGCCACACACAATCGCGCGCAAATTTGTCTTAAGGAATTTTACATTATTAGTCAAAGTCAATTCTTATATTATTTGTATCATATCACACTTTATTAAATTTATATCAACCAACCAACTAAAATGTATTTATTTTTATTCCTTGCATTATTAATTACAATGGCAAATTTTAATTATCGAACGGTGCTGATTGCTAGATATCTCAAAAGATATTATATTATGGTAACAAAACCTATCATATCAGTTGTTCCTAAGTTTGTGTCACATTTATTTAAGCCTAGAACTGCAATTTCTAGGTGGAAATACATTGTTTTGTAAAGACATTTCAATAAATTATTAAGTTAGCCTGCATGACTTCAAATTATCTTATAATGGTTAATTTTTATTTACTGGCAATACTAACACCTATGACAGCGTCGCTCTTACCGGTCAAGAAAAGTATGTGGCACTGTACCGAATACTCCCTGGCTGACACCCACTAATAAATCGGTGCCCATGGGCTGCGGTAGTTGGCTTGCTTACCCCCTATTTATAATACCTATAGTATAGACTATAGAGGTAAGTGAAATATTCTAGTAATAGTAATAATATTCTACTTAACACATTGTTAATTATACAAAGTAAGCTCTGGTAATAACTCATGTACATTATATAGTGTAATGTTTTTGATTTTTGATTATCACAAATTTTTGGGTGTGTTGTAGATAACAACGATTTTTTTATTTTCCTCTGTTTGTGGCTTTCGTTTAGTTTTTTGTATTATTGTATTTAAAATTGAATTTAAATTTGTACTGTACTATAGCACTTTAGGCTCCAAAGTGGTTTTTATGGTGTTTTTTTTGTATTTTTAGTATATATATAATTAGGAATAGTAAATTAAGAAAAAAAACGTGTGTTTTCTGTACACGCGTTAGAAGTTACACTTCTTTGGCGTAGGTAACAAGATAAACATCTTTTTTAAAAATGTTATTCTACGTTTGTAGAAAAAACGACACTAACAATAGTAAAAACAATGCGCGAAAATAGAGGACACCGTGAGCCATTTTTGCCAAAACCCTCCATCTTTTAGTCGATACCAACTCCGGGGAAATAAATACAGATAATGCAACTTTCTCTACAGCTGTGATACTTTTTGACATTCAACACCTTTTGTCTTCAGTCACCGTGACCACGCACGCTGTAAAGCACGCGAAACGTCGGATAAATTTAAAATTATGTTAAATAATTGTAAATTTATAATAATACATAACTTTAATGCGGTAAAAAAGTTTTTTCTTTAAATGTGTAAAGTTTATGTCGTCAATCAAAGACAATACTATGTTGTTTATAGCAAATTTCAGGGTGTCGGATTTTTGGACGGTGAGCGCGGTTCGTAAAAATTTATTCTCTTCATTTTTCCCTAAGGCGCCAAAAGAAGTATAACTTAAAAAAAAATAAAAAGCGACGTGTGAGATATTACATAGTTCCTGAAAGAATAATATATCAGTTATTTGCTACAGAAAATTGTCTCTTCCCTTTTCACTTATTATAAGTGTATTCCCAGCCCTAAGTTAAATATACGAGGTAATTATTCTCAGAATAATATGTCACTCAAGGGTACAATTTATATCGGCCGAGACAATACCTATCTTTGAATTTAATGTTGGTCGTATGAAGACTTCGCCTTATGGGTGTCATTAAAATTTAACTGGTACCTATAGCAATACAAAGACAACAAAAGCGCGAATGTAACGAACATTCGTCGTAAACAAATGTATACCTAAGGAGAGTGTAAACTGTATAAAACAACAATATCACGTAACCGAGGTCAAATGAAACACTTAAAAAACTTTATTTATGTTACCTAGTGACGGACCGGTAACATTCGTAATTAAAGGCTGAACTTCAGAATGCCAAATCGTAAAATGACTGCTTCACGACTGATTTGAGCACGACCGCTGCTGCGAAAACCGCTGAGCGAGTTTGAAAAGTGAGTTACAGAATCGCAAGGCTGAACAACTAAACCTAGTAGAAGTAAACTTATGATGTTACAATACGCTTCGTAAGACCACTATTTATTTATTAAACTACAAATATAATTATAGTATCATTATTGAAATATTTTTTTCACTCACTGAACCGAAGTTAGCGTTGAGAGATGCTTAAAAAAATCTCCAATATTTGTATTGTTGTTCCGAAGTTTGCTTCGGAAGCTGTTGATAGACAAGATGGCGGATCACATGTTCTGTTTTTATTATCTGACAAAATATGATTACTTTTATGTAAAAAGCATGTGATTTAAAATGTCTAAGATATTTTATAATATTCATGGATAAAGACATGAAAAGAAATTGTATTAGTTAACAAAGCACCCGACTTTATGAGTAAGACCGATTTTAAACCCTGTTTAGAAGCTGAAAGTAGTTCAGTTGAGACGTATTTAAATTACTAATGAGGCATTTTTTATCGATAAGGGGCAGTTATTATATATGCCAAGCTGAGTATAGCTATTTTAAAAATGTTTACTATATAATAAAACAAAAGAATGACGACACTTTGTAAGTTTAAAAATATAGACGAATTAAAAAGCGCAAATGGAAGC